TCATTATTCTGTTATAATTGTAATATATGTAATAGAGTCTTTTAAGTATTACAGTTCATTTTACTAGAAAGAAAAATTGAAAAACTGAAGCATTTGTTGGTGTTTAAATTTAATATCTTATTATAACAAATTGATTCTAATTAAGTTGACCAATATCTGTATTCATAATAATGCCATTTTTTTTGGTTCAGACATGACTCCAATTTTTTGTTGTACTTTGTAAGTTGTGTTTCACAGATATTGGTTATTTTATAAATAAAAGAAATATTTGAGCTTTAGACATGCAGCCTAGTATTACTTCAGTTGAATTTGTAATTTTAAAGATGAAATCAAACTTGTGTATTATCTATATTGTAATAGAAGTGCTTTTTGAAAAGTTATAAGTGTTTGAATGTTTTTAATGAAGCATGAATAACTCAGGTTCTAAGTTTACTAGAAATGGTAATTATTGATTGTTATGTATTTTGTTTATAGACTTGGATGAGTGCAAAGAAAAACACCCATGTAGCCATTATTGTAGAAATATTGTTGGATCATATGTCTGCTCTTGTGCTGAAGGATACGTTGCTCGAAATGAAGGTCATTCTTGTAAAGCCAACAGCAGTATGTATTCATTTTAAATTTACTTTTTTTATAATAAAGTATAATGATCGTTGTTGTAAAGTCATTGTATTATGTTTATTTTGTAAGTTGTGTTCATTGTTCTGGAATAGAACCTCATTCTTGTAAAGCCAACAAAAGTATGTCACTGTCATGATTAGTAGCCAGTAGGATCATCTAATTCTTATTAGTAATTAATTACCTTTCCTTATTATCATTAGGTACTAATTACTAAATTAATTTACATCCTACATTTTGCTGGTAATCTTCTGCCATTTTCAGACAAAGTCCTGATAAGGGCTGTATTTGTGGTGGGAATTTCAGGGATTTAATAATAAGTCTTCTTATTCATCTGGGGGTGTCCCCCATTAGGACTTGAATCAACAATTTAAATGTTTTTTTAAGATGAATGCCCAGGTTTAGCTGGCTGCTGTGCTAGGTTGACTGAGTGTGGTATCAGTTAGGTGGATATGGACAGCTTCTTTTATCTTTCTTTATATTATGTGGGATTCATATCCCATTATTCTTTTGCATCATTTCATTTCTTGGTCATTTTCTCTGTTTGATGGGATATTGCAGATAGATTTGTATTACAGAATCTTGTATGACTATTATGCTTTTAAGTTCTAACTTTTGTATTGGAGTCCACATTCACCAAAGGAAGGAAGAGAAACATATCACTACAACCCTCCTTGAGTGGACACCTTAAACACTTGATAAAGAGGATAACCATCAAGATTAAACAGGAAGAAAAGTACACACAGCCACATTTCTTTGTGTCAAATATCTCTGAAAACTTGCTAAGAATATGTAAATCCCATAAAGTCAGTTCTGAAAAACCACAATACAGTTGCATTTGATACACACTAAACCACACATTAAAGACCCGTTTGAGAACAAAAATTAACCCTAGCCACTACCACCACAGAAACAGTATTTCTCAAAACATCCCTTAATGAGGGATCTGAAGCATAGAATGTTAGTTAGTTCATAATGAATTAGTATATACTGAGACAGTAGAAATAATAATAACACATTAGTAACTTAGGTGATCGTGGAAGCAACTAAACTTGAGAAGAATTGATATCAGCAAACTTACCATAAGTACTTAACATTAATAACGTATTTATTTTGAGTTTTTTATTGCACTAGGAATAAAAGCTATTATTATGAAGCTAGTATATTGTGCATATATCATATTCAAGTTGCATTGACTGTATTGTAATTAAGCCAGCAGTAATATGCAATTATATTCTTTATTCTTCTGATATTACTGTCCAACCAGTACATTTCATATATATTGTAAGTTGTGTATATTGCACTGGAATTGAAGATATATCTTGTAAAGCTAATGTTAGTATATATGTGCATTTAATAAGTTTTGTTCACTATAGTAGAATTGAGGACCTATCTTGTTAAGCCAGTAGTAATAGATAGTTGATGTAAGTTGAGTTCCTCTAGTTGAAATTAAAGAGCCACACATTGGTTAGCATGCCTCGACTGTGAATCCAAGGTTTCCCATGTTCCATTGCTGCAAAAATGTGCTCACACTTTGGTGCTGAGAGTGCACTGTAAGAACGATTGTAAAATCCTACTGGTGAGAAAAGAGTAGCTTGAGACTTGGCTGTGGTGCTGTTGACTAGCTGCCTTCCTTCTATCTTATCATTTCAAAATTAGAAATGGCTATGCTCAGATAGTGTTTGTGTAACATTAGTAAAATTCTGAAAGTAATAAACACACTTAGTATAATATGATATCTCTATCAACTTTTTTTGGCCATTATAATGGGAATGAAAATCATTATTTCTAAACTAACAGAAGTATGAATTATCTTTTCATTTGTTTATTGTTGTAATTCAACAGTCATATGTAGTCATCTCTAAACAAGTACATTGTACTTAGATTGAGAGTCAGTAATGTAATACCATAAGTTTTATGCACATCAGGTGTGATTTTTAAGACTAAGCTGTTATACTGTTAATATGTCATCTTGGATTTTAATTTGCCTCAGTGTTTCATGAGATTTTACAAAACAAAAGGTTAGGATTAGTTATGGTATTCTTAACTTGCTCCACAATATGCTAAACAGTTTTCTTAAATTTTAATACATTTTAGAATATAGTAATACAGTGCCTTGCAAAAGTATTCACCCCCCCCCCTGCAAAGTTTCCACATTTTATTGCCATTTGAGCTTGCAATCATGAAACTTTCAAATGAGACTTTATAATTATAATATACACAATCTATTCTAAACTGAGAAAGCTAAAAAAATGCTGATATTCTGTAAGTAGGTTAAATTTTCAAAGAAAATTAAAATATTCTTAATTGCATAAGTATTCAACCCCCTTTGCTATGGCAACCCTAACTCAGTTCAGGTGCAAAAGATTAGTTTAAAAGGTCACAGAATTAGGGTAATGGTCTCTATCTGTGTATAATTAAAGTGGTTTAACTTGACTTCAGAGTAAATATATCTGTTCAAATCACAATCAACACAGTGATATGAAAACCAACCATGAAGACCAAGGAGCATTTCAAACAAGTCAGGTATAAAGTGGTAGAGAAGCGTAGATCAGGAGAAGGTTACAAAAAAATGTCTAAGTCGCTGATTATCTCTTTGAGTACGGCCCATCATTAAGAAGCGGTATGTGCTTCATACCACCCAGTCACTCCCCAAATCAGGCCACCCTTCCAAACTATGTGACTGGGCAAGCAGGAAAATGGTTAGAGATGTAACTGTGAAGCCAACAGTAACTTTGAAAGACTTGCAAAGTTCCATGTCTGAGATGGGAGTCAATGTTCATACATCAGCAGTATCTCAGTCCCTACACAAAGTTGGCCTGTATGAGCAAGTGGCAAGAAAAAACATTACTGAAAAAGAATCATCTTAAATCTTGTATGAAGTTTGCAACAAAGCATGTAAATGATCCTGTAGACACGTGGCAGATGGTTTTGTGGTCAGGCAAATTGAGCTTTTTGGTCTAAATTCAAAACGTTACATTTGGTGCAAATCCAATACAGCACATCACCTAGTCAGCACCATCCCAACTGTCAAGCATGGTGGTGGTGGCAGCATCATATTATGAGGATGCTTCTCATCAGAAGGGACTGGGAAGTTTGTCAGGATTGATGGGAAAATGCATGGTTCAAAGCACAGGTGAGTCCTAGAGAAAAACCTGCTTGAGTCAGCCAAGAATCTAAAACTGGGTTTAAAATTCAAATTTCAGCAGGACAATGACCCAAAGCACAAGGCAAAGCCACATTGGGGTGTTTTTAAAAGAAGAAAGTGAATGTCCTAGAGTGGCCCAGTCAAAGTCCTGACTTGAATCCAATAGAAAATTTATGGCGAGACTTGAAGATTACAGTCCATCAATGATCCCCAATGAACTTCTCAGAATTAGAGCAATTTTGCCATGAATAATGGATAAAAATTACATCATCTCATTGTCCAAAAAAAACTCGCAGCTGAATTTGCTGCCAAAGATGCTTCCACCAAGTACTGACTTAGGAAGTTGAATACTTATGCAATCAGCAAATTTCAAGGTTTTGCTGATGTTCAACCTCCTTCACAAATAACATTAACATTGATCATTAGAGTTTTGAATAAAAAAAGTTCATCAAAAAATTGTTTACATTATTTGTATTTCATCAAAATGTGACATTATTGGTAGGAGTGAATACTTTTGCGAGGCACTGTAAACTCTGAAAATTTCAAAAAAGCATGATTTAAAATATACACCTGGAAAAAAGTTAAGCACCCCCAAATATTTTTCAGGATTGCTTATTGAAAATAAGGTTTAATTTTCAT